TTTGCGTTCACGCAGACAAACAACCACCCAACCAAAAAATAAAATAGAGAGAGCGCGCGTGAGGAAAGCGGAGCCAGCGACAGCCTCCTCCCCTCCGGCCGGCGCCTCCCCGCGCGGCCATTCAACACCGACTGTGACCATCGCTTACGTCGCCGGAGAGATCAAAAGGCCAGATAAACACACAATGCGTTAACGGCTGATGGTGAGGATGTTTTCGTGCTTCTTCTTCTGGTTATGGCATAGATTATGAAGCGCTGTTGTTGGAGGTGGTAGTGGCGATGATGGTGATGGATATGGTGATGGATGACGGTGACGATGATGGTAATAGTGATAATGATGATGGTGATGACGATGATGGTAACAATGATGATGATGATGATGATGATGATGATGATGACATCGATGTTGACAAAAAACGAAGAAAAAATTAAAAGAAAAATGGAAAGAGCGCCCTCAGGTGCAAAGAAAAAATGTTTCATAACGATACTGATAGAGCGTTACGCCGTTACGTCAGAAGGAAAGAAAAAAAAAAGAAAAGAAAAAAAAGGAAACCGAGAAGAAAAAGAAAGAAGAACAGCACCAGAAAAAGAAGAATTAGGGGAAGAGAAGAAAAAAAAAGAAAGGAAAAGAGAAGAAAAAAAAGAAAGGAAAAGAGAAGAAAAAAAAGAATTAGGAGAAGAAAAAGAAAAGAAAAAAACAGGAGAAGAGAAGAAAAAAAGAAGAAATAGGAGAAGAGAACAAAAAAAAAAAAAAAAAGAATTAGGAGAATAGAAGAAGAAGAAGAAGAAAAAAAGAAAAATACCACCGAAAGCTACCGCTCGTGACAAATGTTGACGGATGCGCGTTGGGGCGAGCTCCGCGGAGGCCAGACACCCGACAAATGGCCCGAAGCGGCTAATGCCATGCTCGGGTTGCCACTGGCGGCATGGGGGGGGGGGGTGGAGGAGAAGAGAGAAGGCGGGGAAGGGGGGGAAGGATGGAGAAGAAGAGGGGGGTAAGGGGGAAGAATGGAGAAGAGAGGGGGGGTAAGGGGGAAGGATGGAGAAGAAGAGAGGAGAGGGGAAGTAAGAGGGAAGAAAGGAGAAGAAGAAGAGGGGGGAAGGGGGAAGGATGGAGAGAGAGAGGAGAGAGAGAGAGAGAGAGAGAGAGAGAGAGAGGAGAGAGAGAGAGAGAGAGAGAGAGAGAGAGAGAGAGAGAGAGAGAGAAAGAGAAGAGAGGAGAGGAGAGGAGAGGAGAGAAGAGGATAGAAGGGAAGAGAAGAAAGAGAAGAGAAGAGAAGAGAAGAGAAGAGAAGAGAGGAGAGGAGAAGAGAAGAGAAAATAGAAGAGAAAGAGAGAGAGAAAGAGAAAGAAGAAAAGAAAAGAAAAGAAAGATAAAGACAAAAAAAGAAAAGAAAAGAAAAAAGAAACGAGAATGACAGACAGCGATAAATTACCCTTCCAAACTTCAAGAGTTGCCAAAATATCCCAGGTGCCTCCCCGCCCGACCAATCCACGGCGGCGCAAACACGAAATCTAAGAACCAATTAAAAGCCACTCTTTGTCTTGCAAGCATAATTAGTTTTCGAGGCGCGGGCGTGGATACCGACGCCATTCTACAAATAGCTACGGACTAGTAATTAGCCTAATGATGCACCTGGGACGAAAATACATACATACATACATACAAACACGCACACACACAAAGTGAGAGAGAGTGAGAGAGTGAGAGAGTGAGAGAGAGAGAGAGAGAGAGAGAGAGAGAGAGAGAGAGAGAGAGAGAGAGAGAGAGAGAGAGAGAGAGAGAGAGAGAGAGAGAGAGGAGAGAGAGAGAGAGAGAGAGAGAGAGAGAGAGGAGAGAGAGAGAGAGAGAGAGAGAGAGAGAGAGAGAGAGGAGAGAAGAGAGAGAGAGAGAGAGAGAGGAGAGAAGAGAGAGAGAGAGAGAGAGAGAGAGAGAGAAGAGAGAGAGAGAGAGAGAGAGAGAGAGATGAGAGAGAGAGAGAGAGGGAGAGAGAGAACCCAGCGTTTAGCACGATACAGTACTTTTACTTTCCACGTAATCAAAGGTCCCAAGAGCCCAGCTAAAAATGTAATCCCGTGTACATGAACATAAAGCAAAATTAATAATACCACAGTTAATGCAATTCATATCACGGCATCATCATATTCATTACTATCCTCAAAATTAGAATCCGCATGATTTTCATCCCCACTGGCATACTCATCATAACCTTATTAACATTATCATCATATATATATATATATATATATATATATATATATATATATATATATATATATATATATATATATATATTTTTTTTTTTTTTTTTCTTTTTTTTTTTTCTTTTTCTTTTCCTTTTTTCTTTTCTTTTCTCTTTTTTATATATTTCTATTTTAGTACATTTCGTATTTTGGTTTTGTATTTACAGTACAGTGTCATCCACCATTAAAAGTACGCGATATAAGAGCAATAATAATTCGTTTATTTTTTTCGTCTTTTTCTTCTATTTTTCCCGTTTTTAAGATCGTCATCCCAAAGCGCTCTACGATTAATTTCCGCAACAAACCTGCAATTAGCAACGGAACCACAGCAGATGCCACATGCGGATTTTTCGAAGAAATAATATACCATCGTGTGTGTGCGTACGAGCGTGTGTGTGTTTTCATTATAAATCATACAGGACACTCTGTAAGTGCAAAGAGGTGTCACTGACGGAGGAAGTTCAATCCATCAATTCGTGCGTATGCGCTGTTTGTGTGTTTGTTTGTTTGTTTGTTTGTTTGCGCGCGCGCGCGTGTGTGTGTGTGTGTATGTGCATGCGCATGTGCGTTTACGTGTGCGTGTGAACGAACGCATACATGTGTGTACATGCAGGTATTTGCGTTCACGCAGACAAACAACCACCCAACCAAAAAATAAAATAGAGAGAGCGCGCGTGAGGAAAGCGGAGCCAGCGACAGCCTCCTCCCCTCCGGGCGGCGCCTCCCCGCGCGGCCATTCAACACCGACTGTGACCATCGCTTACGTCGCCGGAGAGATCAAAAGGCCAGATAAACACACAATGCGTTAACGGCTGATGGTGAGGATGTTTTCGTGCTTCTTCTTCTGGTTACGGCATAGATTATGAAGCGCTGTTGTTGGAGGTGGTAGTGGCGATGATGGTGATGGATATGGTGATGGATGACGGTGACGATGATGGTAATAGTGATAATGATGATGGTGATAACGGTGATGGCGATGACGATGATGGTAACAATAATGATGATGATGATGATGATGATGATGATGATGATGATGATGACGACGATGATAGTAATGATGATGATGACGATGATGGTAATGATGATGATGATGATGACAACGATGATAATGATGGTGATGACAATGATGGTGATGACAATGATGATGTAGGGGGACATCGATGTTGACATAAAAAACGAAGAAAAAATGAAAAGACAAATAGAAAGAGCGCCCTCAGGTGCAAAGAAAAATTGTTTCATACCGATACTGATAGAGCGTTACGCCGTTCCGTCAGAAGAAAAGAAAAAAAAAGGAAACCGAGAAGAAAAAAAAAGAAGAGCAGCACCAGAGAAAGAAGAATTAGGAGAAGAGAAGAATAAAAGAAGAATTAGGAGAAGAGATGAAAAAAAATAAGGAGGAAAAGAGAAGAAAAAAAAAGAAGAATTAGGAGAAAAGAAGAAAAAGAAAAGAAAAAAAACAGAAGAGAAGAAAAAAAAATAAAAAAAAAACAGGAGAAGAAAAAAAAGAAATAGGAAAAGAGAAGAAAAAAAAAGAATTAAGAGAATAGAAGAAGAAAAAAAGAAAGAAAAATACCACCGAAAGCTACCGCTCGTGACAAATGTTGACGGATGCGCGTTGGGGCGAGCTCCGCGGAGGCCAGACACCCGACAAATGGCCCGAAGCGGCTAATGCCATGCTCGGGTTGCCACTGGCGGCAGAGGGGGGGGGGGGAGGATGGAGAAAAGAGAAGGGGGGTAAGGGGGAAGGATGGAGAAGGAGAGAGAGAGGAGAGGGGAAGTAAGGGAGAAGAATGGAGAAGAAGAAGAGGGGGGAAGGGGGAAGGATGGAGAAGAGAGAGGAAAGGGGGGTAAGGGGGAAGGAAGAAGAAGGGAGGGGGAGAAGAGGATATGGAGGAGGGGGACAGCATTCGAAGGGAGGGGGGGCTTGGGAGGGAGGTCGAAGGTTAGAAGGGGGGGGGGTCAGGAGAGGAGGGAAACGAAGGAAGGGGGGGGGGGGTAATAGTGAGAGACACCAAGAAGATGCTATGGGTTACGGGGGGGGGAGGGGGGGTTATAGGCCTAACACTAAAAGAGATAATGGTAAAAGCTCTTGAGGTGTGTTCTTGCATGAGAAAAAAAAACGAAAAGGAGAAAGAAAGAGGAGGGGGGGGGGAGGAGAAAGGGTGAATAACAAGGAGAAAAGGAGGAAATACCCAATAAGAAAATGTCAAAGGCTGCTGTGCATGACGATGATAACAACCTATCTGTACTACTAGCCCCCCCCCTAAAAAAAATATATATATATACATTAGATAATATATATACATATATACTCACACTCACACACATGCACACACACACAATCTAATAAGAAAAACAACAACAAACATACCCACCCCCACCCCCACCCCCCACCCTCGTAAAGAAGAATAGCAGAAACCCAAACAAAATAACAAGCCCCGAGTAACACAATCCGACGGCCTGCATTCGTAAACACAGCGCCTCACACACACACACACACACACACACACACACACACACACACACACACACACACACACACACACACACACACACACACACACACACACGGGAGAGGGCGAGCCGGGAGCCCCTCGAATGCACTAAACGGCCGCTTAACTAAGAAAGATCACGACGGCCATGTGTGGAGTGGGGGGAGGGGGGAGGGGGGAGGGGGGAGAGAGGGAGAGGAGGGGGAGAAGGAGAGGATGAGTGGAAGGAAGAGGAGGGTGGAGAGGGAGAGGGAGAGAAAGAGGGACAAAAAGATGAGGGGGGAACGGCAGGGGCAATGGCAGGGGTGGAGAGGAGGAAGGAGGAGGGGAAAAGAGGGGGAGGTGGGGAAAGTGGGGAAAGCATGAGAAGGGGGAGTTGGGGGATGAAAAAAGAGAAGGGAGGGAAAAAGGAGGAAGTGGAGGAGGGGGGGAATAGAAAGGTTTGGCCACCTTCGACGGAAGAATATCAAAGACGCAGCGGCTCTAATGACGTTAGTGGCGAGAGGGGAGGGGGGGGGGAGGGGGAGGAGAAGGAGGGAAAGGAGAGGGAGTGAGAAGGGAGAGAGAGAGAAGGGAGAAGGGAGAAGAGAGAGAAGAGAGAAGAGAGGAGAGAGAGAGAGTGAGAGAGAGAGAGAGAGTTAGAGAGAGAGAGACAGAGTTAGAGAGAGAGAGAAGGAACAGAAAAAAAAGACAGAGAAGATGGAGAAGAGAGAAATGAAGAAAAAGAAGAAGGAAAAGCAAGATAAAAGGAAAGAGGCGGACAAACACAAGAAAGAGGGCATTTAAAATTCATTACCATTACAATCCTAACATCCCCAACGTCATCACCACAACCGTTTACACTCCTTCCACGATCATTAAAGCTACTGGCATTCATTATCACAGTTACCTCCACAGTCTAAGCATTTTCCTCTAATCCCGCACAATCCCCACTAACCCCCCCATCCCATCCCCCTCCCCTTCCCCCACTCACCCTCACACCACGCCCCCCCCCCTCCCCTCCCCCGAGACCCCCTCTGTACGCAACTGTAATAAAGTTCTGACGAGACACGAGAGAGAAATAAAAACACGACTAGAAAAAAACTTCTACACATATTTCTATCCTAATGGGAGACACAGAGCGAGAGCTGGCGAGAACAAGCGAGAAAGAGAGAGAGAGAGAGAGAGAGAGAGAGAGAGAGAGAGAGAGAGACGAGAGAGAGAGAGAGAGAGAGAGAGAGAGAGAGAGAGAGAGAGAGAGAGTGTGAGAGTGGGGGGGGGAGGGAGGGAGGGAGGGAGGGAGGAGGGAGGGAGGGAGGGAGGGAGTGACAGACAGACAGACAGACAGACAGACAGACAGACAGACAGAAAGAGAGAGAGAGACAGAGAGGACAGAGAGGACAGACAGACAGAGAGAGAGAGAGAGAGAGAGAGAGAGAGAGAGAGAGAGAGAGAGAGAGAGAGAGAGAGAGAGAGAGAGAGAGAGAGAGAGAGAGAGAGAGAGAGAGAGAGAGAGAGAGAGAGAGAGGGGGGGGGGGAGAGGGAGAGAGGGAGATATATTATATATATATATATATATATATATATATATATATATATATATATATATATATATATATATAGAGAGAGAGAGAGAGAGAGAGAGAGAGAGAGAGAGAGAGAGAGAGAGAGAGGAGGGGGGAGAGGGAGAGAGGGAGGGAGGGAGAGAGAGAGTGACAGACAGACAGACAGACAGACAGACAGAAAGAGAGAGAGAGAGAGAGACAGAGAGAGAGAGAGAGAGAGAGAGAGAGAGAGAGAGAGAGAGAGAGAGAGAGAGAGAGAGAGAGAGAGAGAGAGAGAGAGAGAGAGAGAGAGAGAGAGAGACAGACAGAAAGAGAGAGACAGAGACAGAGAAAGAGAGAGAATGTCCATGTTGCTTCAATGCGTTTGCAATAGGCATATACAAACGAAATTCTAGTGCCTGGACTGGAAAGATACGTTCCATCAAATTAAATGATCCATAACTTTTTTTCGTTTAATGGTTCAGCGTTTAAACTTTATTGCAACCCGGCATTTCAAAAATAGGACTCAATACTAATGCAAAAGCGACTGTGCCTTGCCAATTCTGTCAATCAGCAAAAAGTGGAATTTAAAACCAGCTGACGTTTTTTTTCATGAACTTTCTAAGTGTGAGTGAGTTAGCGGACGAGTTGATGTATGAATGAACATATGCATTAATTAATTAATTAATTATTTAATGAATGTGAGAGTTAAAGTGTGAACTTTATGAACTTTCTAAGTGTAAGTGAGTTAGCGGACGAGTTGATGAATGAATGAACGTATGCATGAATGAATGAATGAATTATTTAATGAATGCGCGAGTTAAAAAAGTGACAAGAGAAACAAAGAGGCAGACAGACAGACAGAGCCCAACCAAACGACAACGACCTGACACCTTGTTCTGCACCCATTCCCAGTGACCTCCAAGCGCGAGGTCCCCAGACACGCAAGCAAACAAGGTCACGGCGCAAACCTTGAGCCAAAGCGAGAGACGAAGGCGACGAAGGCGGGCGAGCGAGGGCGAGCGAACGAGGGCGAGCGAGCGAGAGGCGAGCCATTGAGGGCGGCCATTGTCAAGGAGAGACGTTCTGGCCATTGAGGGGGAATTTTTGCAAAGGAGAGAAAATGAGGACCTCCTTCGGGGCCTTTCACGTCTCCTCATTCCCTGTCCTTCGGGTCCTTTTCACATGTCCTAATTCCTCTCATTCACGGGGCTCCGGAAGCAAACAAACCAATCAACAAATCACACCTGACTCACTCCGCGGCTCCGTGCAAGCACAGCCGGGGGATAGAGACACGGGGAGGATGGGGAGGGGAAGGGGGGAGGGGGATGGAAAGGGAGAGGGAGAGGTAAGGGAAGAGTGGAGGGAGATGAAGAGTGAGAGGGAGGGGAGGGGAAGAAGGTGAGGGAGAAAAGTAAGTGAAAGAAGGAGGGGAGGGGAGGAAGGAGAGGGGAGAGGAGGGGGAAGGAACTGGGAGAGGAAGAGGGAGAGAAAGAGGAAGAGGGAGAGAGAGAGGAAGAGGGAGGGTGAGAGGGAGAGGGGGAAGGAAAGGAAGAGGGAGGAGAGGAGAGGAGAGGAGAGAGATACACCCAACGTTCCTCCCACGCCCTCTCCATCCCCGCCCCCAATCATCCGTTTCATCAAAAGGCAAAACGCCAAAAACAATAACTTGGATAATAGCAAAAAGGCCTTTGTTGCCTCCCTTCCGCCGCCTCTTCCGGACCGACAATTAACACCGAGGGAGTCAGCAACGTCTTCCTTCGGAGCAGGAGCAGACAAATACTAAAGGCTTTGCGACCGGGCGCTTTAAAGGGGATCCCACCACGCACGGGCGGGGCTCCCTCTCTTCGGCCCGATGGTCCACCCACGCCCGCACGCACTCACGCATATACACGCCATGAGCGATCTCCAAACCTGCCCGCCTACCGCCCACACTTACACAGTGTCTACCTTCTGCTTGGCATATTAGGGCTGGGTCGCTGTCAAGGCCTTGCATTCTGCGCTTCTGTTTCATCTTCGGTTCCTTCTCATACTCACTCACTCACTCACTCACTCACTCATCCCTCCCTCCTTCCCTCCCTCTTGGACGTACCAAGGCCCTGGACTGACTCATCGCTGTGCGTCGCAGTCCGGGGCAAGCCGCCCGACAGGCCACGCCCTTCGGTGGGTGACCTCGGACCCGGTCCCTGTCCCTACAGACACTCTTCCATGAATCACGCTCTGGCTTGGGCGCAGCTTCCTCGGCTTCCTGGGGGGCCCCCTAAGGGCTATTCAGACTGCCCTTCTGGGCCTACTCCTCTCCGGGGGCCGCTACCCAGCAGGCCCCTGCGCAACCACCGAGTACTTCCAGCCCCACGTTGCCACGCAGCAAACACGTCAACAATATACAAGAACCAGACCGTGGCTGTCACTAGCCGCCACCGATGCGGGGGCTACCCATAACTAAGAAGATTCATCTACCACTCACTCGCTCACTCTCTCCTTCTCCCTTCCTTTTCCCCCTTCCCCTTTTCCTCTCCCCTTCTCCCCCTTCTCTAACCCCCAATATCCGTGCCTCCCTCCCCCCCTCCCTATCCAACCCACAGGAAGAGCACCCATAAAAGACATGTTAAAAATATCCTGCAGGAGTAAGAGAAGGGCAAGGGTGTTGGAGGAAAAGACGCAAAGGACACGAAAAGAAAAGACAGGAAACGGGAAAAACATGAAAAGACAAGTCAGACAAGAAAAAATGAAAAAAAGGAAAGGAAGGAAAACCCTCCAAAAAGACGTGACAAAGAGAAGACACCAAAAAGAGGAAGACATCACGGCCAAAGACAATGAGGAGGAGAAAGAAACAGAGAACGGAAGTGAGAGAGAGAATGAGAGAGAAGAGGGAGAAAGGGGTGAAGAGGGGAGCGAAGATAGAAGAGCGAGAGTGAGAGTCAGTGGTAAAAAAGAAAGGAGGAAGGAGGGGAATGTGAGATAGCTAGTGATAAACGGTGCAAAAAGCAAAAGGGGAAAAGGGAAGATTGGACGTGCAGGAAAGAGACGATAATAATGGAGGGGAGAGTAAGGGTCGAAGTAGAGGATCAGTACACTATGAGAGATGATGTATTAAAAGAGAGAGAGAGAGAGAGAGAGAGAGAGAGAGAGAGAGAGAGAGAGAGAGAGAGAGAGAGAGAGAGAGAGAGAGAGAGAGAGAAAACAGAGAGAAAGAGAGAATAGAGAGAGAGAATAGAGAGAAAAAGAATAGAGAGAGAACACACAAAAGCGAGCAAAAGAGACAGCCTGGAAGGGAAAAGTGACCGGAACCAAATCCAGAAGACAAAGCCAAGGAATCGCACGAGATGAGCTTCTTCCCCCGAACGCCGCCATGAACCCTAATGGCAACACGTAAATACACACACACGCGCACACACACACGCACACGCACACGCAAAAAAAAAAAAAAAAATCTCGTATAAAATAGTCCTTTCTATAAAAAGCAAGTCGACAGCAAAATGCACGAATTAAGACCGAACACGTAACATAAACAAAACGAACATAAAAACGCACCTCTCCCGCTCCCCACCCTCCCTCCCTCATCAAACAAACACACATACACACACACACAAACGAAAAAAAAACTAATGAAAAAAAAACCGGAAAAGTCAAATCCCAACTGAAATGGATTCCCGAGCGCAGTTTGGAGCGCGCGTAAAAGCGAACGAGCTCCCCGCGCCGCCACGACCCCGGCGGAGATTATCCTCGAACTCTGACGAGGTGACAAGCGGCCCGCACCCGGAGGGAAGATAAAACGGGATTGGGAGCGCCGGGCTGGGGAGAAGGGGGGGGGGGGGGGGAGAGGGGAAGGGGGGAAGGGGGAGCGCCGGGCTGGGGAGAAAAGGGGGGGGGGGAAGCTGGGCTGGGGAGAGAGGGGGGGAGGGAAGATTAAAACGGGATTGGGAGCGCCGGGCTGGGGAGAAGGGGGGGGGGGGAGGGGAAGGGGGGAAGGGGGAGCGCCGGGCTGGGGAGAAAAGGGGGGGGGGGGAGCTGGGCTGGGGAGAGAGGGGGGGAGGGCAGATAAAACGGGATTGGGAGCGCCGGGCTGGGGAGAGAGGGGGGGGGAGCTGGGTTGGGGAGAGAGAGGGGAGTGGAGGGGAAGAGGGGAAGGGGGAGCGCTGGGCTTGGGGAGCGAGAGGGGGAGGAGGGGAAGGGAAGGGGGAGCTGGGTTGGGGGGGAGAGAGGGGGAAGGGAAGGGAAGGGAAGGAGGAGCTGGGTTGGGGAGAGAGGGGGAGGGGAGGGGAGGGATAAAATAAGAATAAAAATAAATGTAAAAAAAATATGAAAGAATCGTGAGAAAAATAGCAAAGTCATAAATAGAAGAAAATCGTCAAAGACTTAGGAATCCAAGCAAGACATCCCTTCCCTTCCCCTCCCTTCCCTTCCCCTCCCTCTCCTCCCCTCGAAATCCCAGTCGAGACCCACTCCCTCCCCCCCCACCCTCATCCTGCCCTGGACCTCCACCGGACCTCCCCCCCCCCCCGGCCTCCCACCGCACTCCCTCCCTCCTCTTCTTCCGGCCTCTCTCTCCCTACTCCTTCGTCTTCCGGCCTCCTCCCTCCCTCTTCCTTCGGCCTCTCTCTCTCCTTCCTCCACTTCTTCAGGCCCTTGTCCCTTTTTCCTTCTTTTCCTCTGCCTCTCCCTCTTCTGGCCTCCTCCCTTATTCCCTCTCTTCCGGTCTCTGTCCCTCCTTCCCCCTCTGTTAACCATTTTCCTTCTCTCTTCTTCCTTCTCTCCCGATCTCCTCTTTTCCCTTCCTCCCTCCCTTCTTTTCTCCCGGCCTCTTTCTTTCCCTCCTGGCCTCTTTCTTTCTTTCTTTCTCTCCCTCCTTCCCTTCCTCCTTCATCCTCCTTTCCAGTTCTCTTTCTCTCCCTCCCTCTCCACTTCGCTCCTTGCTCTTCTGAACGTCCATCTCTCCCTATTTTTCCGACACGCTCCTCTTCTGCCACCTCTCCCTCCTCCCTCTCTTCTTTTTCTTCTCCTCCTCTTCCTCCCCCTCTTCCATTTTTTTCCGTTCTCTTCCTCCCTCTTTTTCTTCTCCTCCTCTTCCTCCCCCCCCCACACTTTTTTCCTGTTCTCTTCCTCCCTCTTTTTCTTTTTCTTTTTCTTCTTCTTCCCTTCTCATCCCCCGTTCTCCACCTCCTCTGAGTTCGGATAATCGGCCGACTTTTCCCCGACTCGCTCAACGAAACGCGCGAACTTCGGCGTTTCCAGGATCATAATAATCAAGATATTAACGCGGTATCAAGATAATAACGCCAAGATGATACGAGCGGCGAATTCAAGTGGGAGGCGGAGGGGGGGTGAGGGGAGGGGGGAGGGGGTGAAGCGTGTGAACAATTGAACTAAATTAAACTGCTACGGAATGGAAACGTCTTTCAAAATTCGCATACTTGTGTTTGTGTTTGTGTTTGTGTGTGTGTGTGTGTGTGTGTGTCGCACGCACATGCGACCAACGTGCACACAACGTGGCGCGCACACACAAGGCTTCACAGACGGTCTCAACCTACTGAGAGGAATGGATAAACTGAAAACCGTAAAAACGAAGCTACCCAACACCTTCAATTTCGCTAAAAAAAAAAAAAAAACACAAAACGAAAAAGGACATTATCATATTGAGAAAAAAACTAAAACCTCCCACGCACAAACCAGCCAGGCATCACCCTCGGCTAAATATATAACAGCGGGACAGACATAAGTTGGACGAAAATAAAAAATGAAATCAATACGCCATTTTCTATCGAGCCGTGAGAGGTTGCGCGTCGTGCATGAGGGAGGCAGGCTTCTTTCGGGCGACGCCTCAACGACGTCTCCCTCTCGCCTACAGCACTGGATCACCTCCGTCCATGCCAGTTCCGCCATTTAGGCCCAAACTATTCACGCCACCAATGTCTATATCACTAACATCAACCAGAGCATCCTATACAGTAATATATATGTAAGTATGTATGTATATATATATATTGCATTTACATTATATATATATATACATATATATATATATATATATATATATATATATATATATATATATATATATATATATATATATATATATATATATATATATATATATATATTGTGGTGGGGAGGCCGGAAGGGGACGAGAGAGGTCCGGTGGAGATCACGGACGGAATGGGGGGGGGGGGGGGGGAGTTAACCTCAGCTGAGATTTCGACGACAGCGATGCCTTGCTGGGATCCCTACATATTATCATAAAAAATATATATAATAATAAAATAGAAGGATAGAATAAAACAATCTGCAGCAAACTAACAATCTAGCCTTGTCTAAACTTCTCCAACCAACCAAGCAATCAAACTACTACTACAACAACAACAACAACAACAACAATGACAACAACAACAACGACAACAACAACCAACTCCGGACACACACAAAGGAGCGGAAAAATTCCCCTGTTGCAAGTGCACAAAGGAGGCAATGATGGGGAGAGTCGACGACGAAACAGCGCTGCTGCAGGTCGGCAATCCTCCCTCTCTCTCTCTCTCTCTCTCTCTCTCTCTCTCTCTCTCTCTCTCTCTCTCTCTCTCTCTCTCTCTCTCTCTCTCTCTCTCTCTCTCTCTCTCTCTCTTCACTCACTCACTCCCCCCTCCCCCCTTACTCTCACTCTCTATCTCCTTTACTCTCTCCCTCCCTCACTCTATATCTTCTTCTTCCCTCCCTCCCTCCCTCCCTCCCTCCCTCCCTCCCTCCTTCCCTCCCTCCCTCACTCTCACTCCCTCTCCCCATCTCTCCAGCGATCACCAGTCTTGTCTGAGGAATCAATCAATATGCATGAATGGATAAACAGACATTTGAACGTGTGGGAATTTTTTGTATTTACTGAGGAGGAAAAAATATTAAAGAGCGAAGGACCAAGTAATTACACTGAAAAGCACGTTGATAAATACGAGAGGAAAATGCACTCGAACTCACACCGGGAAGAGAGTGAGTGGATATGAGAGAGAGAGAGAGAGAGAGAGAGAGAGA